TTCAATAAGCAATCCTGAAAAATATTTGGGGGTGCTTAACTTTTTTCCAGGTGTATATATAAATAATCCGTTAGTCCGCTAAATAATAGCAGATAATTAATTGTTACAACATGTAACATGTTATCCAAAGTATTTTAATGGTAAGTAAAACACTATACAGCGAAACCAAAACAAAATAAAAGCTTTGTCCGATCAATGGTTTAATGAGGAGTGGTGTAGAGTCATTTTTAGTATCTTTAAATACAACTTTTCAGTCTTTAGTGAAGTTACGATGATGTATAGAACGCTGTCCTAAAAGCTAAAAGATCTTACTTCGAAGGACTTATTCCATTATTACAGTACTCCACGTACTGTGTGCTGATTGATCCAAGTTCTCGCATATTCCATTAGTAGAATATTCCACGTAGTGTGTGTTGATTGGTCCAAGTTCTCACTCATTCCAGTAGTAGAATAGTGCTATACTAGTAACACCTCTTTTAGCTGCTCACTCATCAAGTTAAATAGATGGCAATTTGATTTTCTATGATACATTCTTGTTAAGGTCACGACATTTACACTTTTTCGTTTGGTAATAGATTTGATGGCTTTACAATTATCTTTTTCTTTTCTTGGTAAAATGAGTTTTTAAATTTTCGAAAGTTAATCGAAAACCAGTATTTAGAATATATCAATATCTCCGTTGCAAAGACCGCTTTAGTTGGATATAGTGCGACTATATCAAAGAAAAAATAACAGCGAATTTAATGGTAAACATTGGTGAAACCTTTATGGAAAAAAAACAAAACAACCACTAATTTATTCTGGTTTAACAACAGTCAACCGAGAACTTAACCATCAATGTTGTCAACATGTATTTTTTATGTTTGTTTTGTTTTTAATTATGCACAAAGCTACACAAGGGCTATCTGTGCTCTGCCCACCACGGTTATCGAAACCCGGTTTCTAGCGTTGTACCACTGGGGGGCGTATTTTTTGTCAAATATCATATAGAAAAAAAAATACCCACTTTTATTTGATGGAAGTTTTTTTTTTCCTTTGAGATGTAATTTCAACATAAAAATCAATTGAAATAAATGAATATTTCTTAAGATACGAAAAAATATTCAAAATTATTTCTAGTTGATTTTATAACGAATAAAGTATTTCAAAAATTATATATATATATACCAAACCACCCCTCTAAAAGTCTGTCAAGTAAATGATATTCTTAACAAAACACAATATTCGGTATTAAATATTAACTTCCTTTAAATAAATATTCTGTTTCTAGTTTCTGAATGGTAAACTTTGGTGACATTGCAAGGATTGTCTTAGATTGAAAGAACATTAACACATTACTTTGTTGTAAGAAAAGCTGTAATAAGGGGTGGGGGCGTTAAAACATTAAACTCCAACGTTTCTTCAAGTACAAAATTTAAAAACTTTATTCTGAGACCGTCAATGGTCTCAAAACAAACACTACATGTGTCGATATTTAATCACGCCATCTTAAGGAGTGTAAAATCAGAATCAGTGATTGGACATTGAAACATGTAATGTCTGTTTTCAGACCATTGGCGGTCTGAAAGAGGTTTTTAAATTATGTACTTACAAAACGTTGATTGTTTGAGTATTTTAATTATTTAGGGGTATGTTATACAATATCCTGTTCAAGAGCTATGTGAGGATACGTTACCCTGTTCAAGGACTATGTGACGATATATTATACCATGTCCTGTTGAACGACTATGTTAGGATATATTATCCTAATAAATAAACTTAGTATTACGAATATTATTTATTGTCGAAGTCCAAGTCCAAGGGAGGTCCAGTTCAATCTACATTATGTTCAACGTGTGTTATTGGATTATAATAGTTTCGGAGAATTCCACTCCTAATCAGTAACCCTGAACACAATTTAACCAAATAGAGATAAGCTGGACTTATATCATAGTGAAAAGTATCAAACATAATGTTGGTGTGAACGTGCTTTGTAGTCACTATGAAAAGTGCCTATACACTGGATAGGTGAAGTGAAGAAAAAGTGTCACTGGCCACTATTTAGTTCTTCACATTATATAGCCACACAATAGTAGATTAAATAAACAAACTTAGTATTCCGAAAATTGTTTAATTTCTGGTGTATAGGGGTTTCCTCACACTATGTTTGATACATTATCCTGTTCAAACTATGTGAGGATATATTATACATTGTCCTGTTCAACGGCTGTGTGAAGATATATTATAAATTGTCCCGTTCAACGGCTGTGTGAAGATATATTATACATTGTCCCGTTCAACGGCTGTGTGAAGATATATTATACATTGTCCCGTTCAACGGCTGTGTGAAGATACATTATACATTGTCCTGTTCAACGGCTGTGTGAAGATACATTATACATTGTCCTGTTCATCGACAGGCAGTTTCTAAAGTATTTTAGGAATCTTGAAAACCAGGAAGGTGATGTGTTTTTTGTAGGTTCAGCATTTTTAGGAAGCCATACTTATCTGTGGATCATAGTGCCAAATTAAGGATTATGCTGCTCCTATTAACACTTTAAAGAAATGTAACACAACTTGTAAAATAACTATAGAATTTGTCCTACGTCTGTTTTGCCAAAGCGTACACACTAAATGTTCTCAAACAAAACTTCAGTTATTAGTAAACAAATTTATTTTCTTATTTACATGTATCCACTATTTGTGTTTTTTATTTAACACATTTCAATAATGAGGAATGTTGAAATCATATTGGCAGAAAACATTTCTGTACTCAAAATATGTCTTCTTGTATATTCACTTCAAAAACTAAAAAAAAAATGTAAAGATGTTACTAGTTTGAACTTTAAACAGTTACTAACTCAAACATAATAATCAGAAATACATTTTCATTATTTACTTTTATAAAAAGTACAAATAAAACTAAACGAAACACAGGATAAGAAGATAGATATTTAAAGCTATATCTTACATAGTATGAAAAAAATTAGAGGAAAGTAAAAAACACAAAAGATCAGTAAAACAAAACTAAACATTTTCAAATACAATTAAACAAAGAAGAAATCGCAAGTGTTAGGCCATAAAACACATTATCATAACCAAACAGGTGTTGCGGGAACTGACTCTTATCTAGTATGTTTTTTCTTTGTAAACCTTAAACAGATTCATAAAAAAAAAGAATGTTATCTACCTTGAGACACTTCAAATTCACATTTTTACACTTCTAAGTCCAGGACAACCTGCAGGGCAAGAATTTTTATTTTAAAAAAGCCAAGTTTGCCTGTACAAAGCACGTGTCTGGTGTTAAAGAAATACTTTGAGTTTCCTTCCAATTTAAGTTGACATCATTTAAGAATTCACAGTTGAATTTTGATACTCTTAGATAAGAGGATAGTGGAAGAACAATAACTGGTTAAATTGTATCAACCCTTTTAGCTTGTATATAGTAGGAAACAGTGGTTTTTCAAGCTAAAGGTAAATACAACAAAACAAATGAAATAACATGATTCTAGTAAGCATTTATTAGTGAATTCTTTATATATATTTTTTTGACATGATGTAAGCGAATATGTACAAACCTCTTTCTCTTTTTTTAAATACAAATGGAGATGAAGATAAAAACATAGCTTTTTTGTTAAAGGCCACTTGAATTAGGCCCAACATTACTATGTCCAAAGACTCTGGTTGTTTATACAATAAATCTCTTACATATTCGAAATCAATTTCTTACATTAATTATGTTTCTTGTAGTCATCTGGCACATCATCCAATCTGTCATTTAATATCTTTCATGTCTTCAAAGTGTATGCTATTACAGAGATCCTTAAGCCTATTCCAGAAATCAACCAATTAGTAAAATATTAACATGATTTCTTTTAGGATTGCTTTGCACATCAAAGAATGCTAAATGTAAAACATTTTAAAAGCTCTCATAATCAAATCAAATTTAAGTTGTTTATTAGTCACCAGATGACTAGAGGTGGTATTATTTGATACCACACTGCTAGTTGTAGAAAATACAATGTACAGTAGAATAAGTAAAGTAGTCAACCTGAAGAAATAAAGCTCAAGCTAAACACAAAAAATTACCTTTTCTTTTTATAAACTTCATAAAAAAACAAAGGCACATATGAAACTATAACACTTCTTATATTTATAACAATATTCTAATCAGAGTCAGCATACCTTCAACATTGTAACAATACTATCTTGATTACTATAATCAATAATACCGTTTTTGTTCTAATCAATAATATTGTATTATTCTAATCAATAATACTCTCCGATATCAGCTCTGTTCAAGTTGACTTCTTAAAACTACCACACTGTTAAAATAGTCGAGTAAACTGATGTTCTTCTACTTACAGTTTTAGTAGTCCAACATTAACAGTATGCACTAAGTTGACATTTTTTTTCTACGGTAAGATGAAGCTCCTTTCTTGTTTTTAAGCAGGATTAGAGTGCATGCCTAATCACTAGCACACTTTTATAATTTGTAGAACATTTGGTTAAAATGAGGTCAACACTTTTCCCAGCAGTTTTATGTACTATAATAATCATAACAGTCCTCAGACCAACACTTTTCTCGGAAGTTTTATATACTATAATAATCATAACACTCCTCAGACCAACACTTTTCTCGGAAGTTTTATGTACTATAATAATCATAACACTCCTCAGACCAACACTTTTCTCGGAAGTTTTATGTTTTATATTAATTACCCGACTCTGAAAATGTCTCTATACCAACAAGACATCGACAGCTATGGTATAAACTTGCAAATTCAATCAGCTGAACTTATACAGGCCTGATGTAATGTCTTACTCTATGTATTTCTTGTTATAAAAACTTTGGACTATTCTTTAAGTTAGATTTAAATGCCACATAAAGACACCCTTCAATAGAGGTTTAGACAATTTTCCCAGTTTCTCTGTCAACCAGTAAAGGGAAACATGCTTCGCTTGGTTGATGGGCTTTCCTCACCATTCTGGATAGCTTCATTATTTAAGTCTTCTCCAGAACTTGTTTGATATGAGCGTTTTCTCTAAATAACAAGTAGAACAAGTGAGATCACAGTAAACAACAAATCAAAAACAAGTGAAACTGTACAAAAGTTATTTTAAAAGTCTGTAGTACAAGATTGGGTACTTATATTAAAATGTTAGTCATGTGACAGCCGACATAAAGTTGCAGTAGAAAGATATGTATCAAAGCTACATTTTGACATAGCTTGGGCATTTTGTGGGTAGTGTGATGCCACTAAAATTTATCACTTTTGGGAAGGATATGCAACAGCCTTTTTCCAACACAAAATATTCATACACTCACATCATAAAGACCCTGTTCAGATTTGGGATTTCAAAGATGGTGGTATCCCTTGTACTTAATGATATTGGAAAACAAAGGAATATGGATCAATATGGGACACCAGGATCATCCACAAAGACACCTGCAACAGCTTGTTCCCCAGCTGTGGTAAGCATCTTGTGACAGGTGAGAATCCACAAACACAAAGGTAAGTGGCAGAAGCAGTCCAAATATTCCAGACAACAGTACACAACAAAATCAAAAAGAATATTCATTTGGAAACAAGGCCAACAGACTATGGGTCCACCAAGATAAGACTTTCTTTTCTTGCAAACAAAAATTCCAGGACTTTTCCAGTGCCTCAAATACAAGTTTCCAGGTGTGTGTTCTAATACATAAGGAACCTAATATACATTTTCAAAAACACTTTGTTATTATAAACTGACACATTTTGATAATTATGTAAGATATAATACAATTCAGAAAATATGTGTAAATGACAAAATGTTTTCTCTTTTATTATAACATAATGAGTAAAAAACATAGCTCCAATAAGTGTTCTTTAGCTTTCAACTATTAATGATAAATACGTAATTTTGTGCATAATTATTTGCTCTTTAGCTCTTTCAGTTTCAAGTCGAGTTCTTCATTGAGCTCAGATAATTCCCAAGCTTTAGATTTTGCTGTCTTCGTCACACTATTTGACTGTGTTATTGAAGTCAACCTTCTACTTTTCTCTGCTTGATCTGCTAATTCAACTGCTTTTTTGTTCAAGTTTTTCTTTATCAGTCTGTAGTCTTGCTCATTTTTTTTCTTCAAGTCCTCAATGTCATCCAGAAGATTTTGTCTTTTCAATTTTTGCTTATTAGTTAACTTCTTCTTTCTTTGATCAACTAGATAAGCCTAAGACTTTGCTTTTGCAGATAAAGTTGCTACCCTCATCATTGTGGTTAGAGGAATGTTCAGAATCACCTCAGCTGTTTGAATATGGTCCTTCATAATTTTTTGAGTCGCAAATGATCCTTCCAACATAATTTCTTTTATCAATGCTTTGTTCACCGAAAATTCCCACTCGATGCCAGCCTGACCATGGGATAGAACAAAAGCAAGTCTCACAATATGCCAAAGCTTGGCATATTCTATTTTGCCAGGTGCAGAGAAAAATTAATAGAAGAAAGTGTCCAGGCTTGTGTTTACAGAATTGAAGTCCATAAGGAACCTTATCAGAAGGAAACTGCTTGAGTGCAAACAGTGTTGCCTCACAATCGCTTATTGCAACCTTGTTGTGGTCACACAAGAGCAGTAATACTTGCTTCATTTGAGACACACACAGATCAGGGTCTATTGCCATTTGACTTGGATTCAAATCAGTGTAGATTCCTCACCACTGAATACTTGATTGGTGCCTTCAGATGTAGTTTCTGTACTGTTGCTTGTGCGAATTCTTTGCATGTTATCCTAAATTCCATTGCTTGCAAAGATGATACTTTAGCAGTTTTCACTGCCTGTTCTGCTTCACTGCCCACATCTATTTTATCTTGGGCCACTTGAAGTTCTTTTTTTTTATACCAACATCAAGGGCAATGAGTTTCCCTCGTGTTTTACTTGCTTTCTGAATTTCTTCATGTTTGACGAATATTTCCATTAACTCAGTCAGCATTTCTGCCATGTCTTTGGCTAGAAAAAGTAGCATGGGACTGTCTGTCTGATACTTTTTTGAGTAAGGGATTTGAAACCCTTTTGAAGAAGACTAGCTTCACAGTAATCAATGAACATGACATCTTAACCACATCAAAAAATTTTTTCCCTAGGTTTGTCAATTTCTTCTAATCAACTGCTTGTACATACAACTTAATATTTGACCAGACCTTGAGTGCTTTCTCTGCCACAACCAGATTTTCTAGCCATTTGTGCTGACAAAACTTCATAGAAAATATATCACTGCTTGTAAGTTTGGTGTAATTCTCTCTTCTACCTGGTGTATCTTTAAATAATCAGTAAAGGCTACTGAGGGTGTGTGATACATTCAACTGTGATGCAGCTACTCCATCTTTGAAAGCCACAACTTCCAATATCCAACAATTTTGTGTGATGATTTTTTTACAACTGTGATTGGAAGTCTGCAAGAAACTTCCAATTTATAGCTGGACCATCCATGGACAACTCTTGTTTGTTTACTTTAAATTTATACCAGTATCAAATATGTACTTTACCTTTAGAAACAGTTGAGTGTCTATCAGTTAATATGTTTCGCCATCTATTGGGTTGAATTGGAGTTAAACTATATTTAAGTACGTGCATGATATGTTTACTATTTATAAAAAAATCTGTACATATTTATTGGAATATCAAAAGCAGATACCCACAGACCAGTCAAGTAAGCGATATTCCAAGCCGTGTAGGGGCTAGGCTTGCTGATGTGATCAGGTAGGTAGTAGACGAAAAAGTTACTGTTTTAGAAATTATTAAATTGTTTTAACGGAAATGTTAGCGACCTTTTTAGCGTATTATTAGTATATATGCATATAATATATCGTAACCAATACCTTGAAAGGTCGGTTTATCACTTAGGAATTCAATAGGATGGTTTTTGGCACGTGAATTATTTGGAAACCTTGGCAGTCCCTACTTTTAAATACTACTGTACTTAATAATAATAATAATAAATATGTATTTATTTATGTTTGTTTTAATTTGTTGATAAAAACAATTGTCATAAACTCGATCAGCAAAAGAAATTTAAATAGACCTATGTACTTATACTAATAGTTACTTTGTTATTTTGGGTAAACAAAATATATATATTGGATGTGATAAAAAAAATTTAATCGTTCATAATATTTCTTTTATTTATTCATTAATTTTATTTGGGTGGGTAACAAAAGAAACTTATAAACTGGTGAAAAAGACAGATCATCTGAAATAAATATATATGTATAACAGATTCTAAATCATGCTGAGTATTCAGTAAGGATTGATAAAAACTTAAAACTTCTAAACTAGACACCTGTAATTTTTAGGTGATGTTTTCACACAATCTGAATATGACAAAATCACACAATGACTGTGTTTATGTGTGAACTTCTACTTAACTACCACACAATTTCAAAACGTTCATGTATATGGGTGAACTTTTACCTGACCACAACACAATCTCAAAATATTTATGTTTATGTGTGAACTTTTACCTGACTACAACACAATCTCACAATGTTTATGTTTATGTGTGAACTTCTACCTAACTAACACACAATTTCAAAACGTTCATGTATATGGGTGAACTTTTACCTGACCACAACACAATCTCACAATATTTATGTTTATGGGTGTACTTCTACCTGACTACAACACAATCTCGTAAGTCTTATGTTTATGTGTGAACTTTTACCTGACAACAACACAATCTCGTAAGTCTTATGTTTACGTGTGAACTTTTACTCGACTATGACAAAATCACACAGTTTTTACATTTATGGGTAAACTTTTACCTGGTTGCGTGGAGGAAGCATCTTTACAGCATCTGGATACATTAACCTTTGTGCTTTAGCAATGATGTCTTCATCCTGTAATATGAACTGTTTTACATTTCTGCTGTTTACATACACAGCTTTTTTTAGAATTTTATCGAGCAGTAAATGAGCGGATTGCAATTAACTTTCAATAAATGATCAAATAATTTGTTAAAAAACAAAACGAAAAACAACTTATTGCTTTTAAGAGCAGGTTAAGCAAACTATGAGCAGGAGTTCAGTAAAGTGTTATGTTACAATTTTATTTGTGATGTAAGCTAAATAGATTAAAAGTTAATTCTGTTATCTGATTTTTAGCCAACTCTAGTAACTGTTTAACATTAGGTACTAGTACAAATATCTTGGGAATTAATAATATAAGAAACCTAGACTCAACATTAACTGAGACTTAAAATTTTCAACCCTGTGAGCAGAAGAACTAAAAGGTAATCAGTCAGAAGCACAGCTTCCACCAAGAGGACCTGGTCATGCATTTTTTGAACCAAATCACGGAATTGACTTTCATCTTAACGATTCAATCACAACTGAAAGTAAGAAGAATGTTCAATGTTATAACATCTTGAACCCTAAAACTGTGATACGCAGTTTAGCCACTCCTGGCCTATCAATAATTACACATGTACTCACTTTCAACCAATTGTGGTTCAGTGCTTGTTCCAGAGTAATTCTTTTCTCGGGATCCACTGTCAGAAGCTTTTTGATCAAGTCAATAGCTATAAGAATTTTAATTTTTGTTATTTTTCTGAAGATTATAAAATACATTGAACTCAGTAAATAAACACAATCCTGAACAAGTGAAAGAAAACTTATGATTACACTCAGTAAATAAACACAATCCTGAACAAGTGAAAGACAACTTGTGATTACACTCAGTAGCTAAACCTAAACAAGTGAAAGAAACTTGTGATTACACTCATTAACTAAACACAAACCTAACAAGTGAAAGACAACTTGTGATTACACTCAGTAACTAAACACAAACCTGAACAAGTGAAAGACAACTTGTGATTACACTCAGTAGCTAAACCTAAACAAGTGAAAGAAAACTTGTGATTACACTCAGTAACTAAACCTAAACCTGAACAAGTGAAAGACAACTTGTGATTACACTCAGTAGCTAAACCTAAACAAGTGAAAGAAAACTTGTGAATACACTCAGTAAATAAACCTAAATAAGTGAGACACAACTTGTGATTACACTCAGTAACTAAACCTAAACAAGTGAAAGACAACTTGTGATTACACTCAGTAAATAAACCTAAATAAGTGAGACACAACTTGTGATTATACTCAGTAACTAAACACAAACCTGAAAAAGAGAAAGAAAACTTGTAGCCATGCTACACAAAATCATATGCTAAGTATGACAAGTACAAAAATAACAATTGTAAATCTTGAATCAACAAACTGTTATTTTACTACTAAACGATTATACAATATGAAATCACATACTAAGGTCATATTAATAGAAACAAAGTGAAATAAAAACTGATGTACAAACCACCTGACTCAAGTAATTTCTTAGAATCCTACTGTACTTCTATATGTTTCTTAAACTTTGAACAGAACAGGTTACAGCAGTTAGTGTATTTTATATATTTCTAGTTGATTGTCACAAGTACTTAAGAAAGATATATGCACAGTACTAGAGAAGTAGACGAATCACAATCAATAAGAAACCCAGGAAAATGAGACTTGCAGAAATTTCATTAGCATACACAAAAATGAAAATAACATTTAATACATCTAAAATAATTTAGTAGTCATTTAGTTACTGGTTCACAACATAATTAACAGGTCTCAGTCTGAAACTAACTGTGTTACAAATAACTTAAACAGTTTACAGCAGACAGAGCTGTGAGTGGTTCACAACATAATTAACAGGTCTCAGTCTGAAACTAACTGTGTTACAAATAACTTAAACAGTGTACAGCCGACGGACCTGTGAGTGGTTCACAACATAATTAACAGGTCTCAGTCTGAAACTAACTGTACTACAAATAAGTTAAACAGTTTACAGCAGACAGAGCTGTGAGTGGTTCACAACATAATTAACAGGTCTCAGTCTGAAACTAACTGTGTTACAAATAACTTAAACAGTTTACAGCAGACAGAGCAGTGAGTGGTTCACAACATAATTAACAGGTCTCAGTCTGAAACTAACTGTGTTACAAATAACTTAAACAGTTTACAGCAGACAGAGCTGTGAGTGGTTCACAACATAATTAACAGGTCTCAGTCTGCAACTAACTGTGTTACAAATAACTTAAACAGTTTAC